AGGTTTATGAAATTATATCTAGATGAACCAGTTTACTCCTTGGGTGCTGAAGGTTCACTGGTCCTCTTGGTCCAATTGACAATCAGCAGCTCACTTTGGTTTCTGCCTCAGTCATGATGCAAAAAGTACTTCTTATTATAATAGTTTTTCATTTTTAACTACTCAGATGACAGATTATGAATTATTCAACAGTCCACTTGTGGACAATTGAAGGAGAAAAGAAGTAGATCTGAGAGGCCCACCAGGCAGAGAGGACCAGAGTGGGGGAGAGGCATCAGCAACTGATCAGTGTTTATGCTGTGCTGAAGTATGGGGACCAGATGTCCCCGATTTCCAGAGACAGTCCCCGTTTGGACCACCTGTCCCCGGCTAAAGCTGTCCCTAGAAATGTCCCCGATTTTACCATTTTATATATGAAAGGGGGAAACATTGTGTGTAGACTGTTTGGTAGTTTCACGGCTGTTAACATACAGATATGGGAAAAAAAGAGCACCACATTATTACAAAGAATATAAATGAATTTCATGGATTCTATTGTTAATGGGGTATTGATGAGGTAGTGACAATGATTTGCACCAGTCTATTAAATTGAAAATGGAGTTCCAGTAGAATTTGCCTCTTGGTTGGAGGCATTTAGATTGTTGAAATTTGTTGTGTATGTGTTTGTTATTGTATTTGGTGCCAAGAAAATACAGTCCATTGAGAAACTATTTGGTGGTGAAAGTTGGAGTAAATTGTGATGATTTTAATAGCTGTTAGAGTCCATTGGGGATGCACAGTATAATTGATTTGTATTCCTTGTATCTTATTGGAAAATGATATTTCATCAAAAAGCTATTTATATTACCATGATTGTTTTTTAATTTAGAGATTTTTGTGATACCTTTTGTGATACCTGCCATCTGTGCTGGCTCATAAATGGACTTTTTACATTTTGTAGTTCATTTGTTGTTCAATATTATGCATGTGTTTGGTGAAAAGTTATGAGTAAGGCAGAATTTCCATGGAGAAGGTTGAGAGTCAGGTTGTGTTTACGCATGACGTAGGTGAACACATCACAGAAGTGTACAAGCTATTTATTACCGCCATCTACTGGGCTTGAATGTAATTTTACAACTAGTGGTGTCACATTTCTAAGTGAGAAAATCATCACTTGCACTTCCCTCATTCAGTGTTCTTCATTGTGGAGGGAACTCGCTGGAGTGTTCTCAGAACCAAGTAAGAGCAATGGGACTGGGCTAGCCTGGGTGC